ATCGTGAGGCTTGGAGCGATAAAACACAAAGAAAAGAGCTCCAAGAGGTTGCGTAGTGGATGTTGCAGTAACCTGCAGAATCCCTCGGCAGCAGCCGGGCGAAGGCTTGGGGGCTGCGGGCTCCGCTTTAGTTTTACTTACCGGGAATAATATGCAATCTCTATTGTATATGATAGATGGCGTGCTGCTGCACGTTGGATAAAAGGGGAAAAATGGTATAAAATCTTAGCTCAGCAACCGGAATCCACCCAGCAGCTTGCTTTGGTGCCTGAGAAGTGTTGGGTGTAGGGCGTAGCAATGGGAATTCCTACCTCACCTCTTGTTTCCTCTGAAAACTGTTTACCAGGTGACTGGATAAATTACGATCAGAACAAAAACGAGCAGAAAAGAAGCGCAGTCGGTAAGTCGATTTGAAGATAAGTCGGGGTCGCTTGTTTTCGGTGTACCTCATTTGCTGGCGTAGCTCGAGTGATGTGCAAGAAGTAACATCACCTCTCGCTTGCTTCTTAGGTGTCAAGAAACGGAAACCAGCCCTCAGCATTTTGGAAGAAGAAGAGCTCTGTAGCAAAAAGCAAAAGACTGGCAATACCGCAGGTAAAGCATTTCTGTGTCGTGTAAAATACCAGGTTTGGGTTGTCGGGGGTTGTTTTGTATCCTACGAATTCAACCTGAGCTCACTTTTCTAAAGACTTCCACGAATCTGAGCAGGAAATACAGGAGGGGAAAGTGCTGCTTTTGTCGGTGCGGAATTTGTACCTACATTTGTATGCTTTGGTACGCCGTCATTCCTTCAGTAAGTAAATGGGGAGAAGCAGCTAGGAAATTTGCTTTGTAAGGGTCAGCTCAAATGGTATTGTCTTCTAAGACTGGGCAATAGCGGCTGTTTTTGAAAGAGGTTTCCACTACATGTCTCAGATTTTGCATTTGAGATGTCTCCTGAGACATAACAAGCTATTTTTCTGGGAAGAAAAAAAAAAAAAAAAAAATCAGCTCCCATTTATTGTTGACGTGTGATGTCCCGATGGTCAGGAATGCTTGGTGTCTGGGAGCTCCCACCCAGAAACTACTCATTTACTAATAGTTACTTGGAAAAAATACAGAAGAAATCATGTTAGTTCGATAAATAATGAAAAAAAATCAGCAAAAGTAGCTGTGTAGGTGTGTGTTTACGGGTGCGTGTAGCCACCAGAGGGAGAGCTTCTGTCCCTCAATCCCTCAGTTTTCTGTGTAAGTGATGACGTGGAGCAGGAGAGCGGCTCAGTCCGTGTAACTGCGCGGGCCGAGACTTCTGAGCCGTTGTAATTAAAGGAAAACCAAACATCTGGAGCAGCTGTAGCTGTCCCGAACAGCAGGCATCTGAATATGGCTCAAAATCTCTGGGTGCTTGGTAACCTGACGTACCGAGGGAGGTTCTTCTGCTGGGTGAATACCTGCTTATGAATGGAAAAAAAAGCCCTTTACAGCAGCCAGCGTGCAATCAGGTGTTGTCATCTTCAAGAGCCAGGCTGCTTAGTCCTTCAGGTGCTTTTCTCCAGCGCTTGGCTCTGGCCTTGCTGGATAATCTGAATAATAAGATCCCCTTCATTGGGGATCCCCTGGCCGTGCACGGAACTAAGAGCTTCGTTTAGTTAAAAGTCTAATGGGAAGAGCAAAGCTAAATCTGATTTTTGTTCTATGGCTTTTCAGATGGAATTGAAACAAGGATCTTAACTGATCAACAGCTGATGGTGATCGCAAAGTTGTTTGACAGGCAGTGGAGAGAAATTGCCATTGAGTGTCTTCAAATGGAAATGAAACACATTGAGCAGATTCAGGCAATGGAGGAAGAAGTTAATATGCAAAAATTTCTGGTGTTAAGCAAGTGGAGAGACAGAGAGCAAAGCAACGGAACCGCAGAAGCTTTGTACAGAAGTCTGCGTGAAAAAGCATCCTATGAGATACTGCAAGCCCTGGAAGGTATCGCCTTCCCATTACATTTATTTCATTACATCAGTGTGTTTCAGATGTATTTTAAGAACTCGCATCAGTTTACTGAATACCCAGTACATGTTTTACTACATAGGTCAGAATTGTCTCCCTTCTGATATTAGCAATGACTTTCTTGTGGCATTTTTATACTTCCCTTCAGAAACTTATATAAAATAAATAATCTTTTTGCACTGACTGTGTTGAGAGTACTCTCGGCATGACCTAGCCGTCATGGCCAAACCAGCCGGCGTTGTGTACCCAAACCAGTTCTTGGTTTTCTCAGGAAGTCCAAAGAAGAGATGTTTGGGTCTCTACTCCGATGTGTTTTAGGAAGGGTTAATTAACGCCGTCCCCTGACGGATGACTTAGCGGTTTGGTCCTGCAGACCCGTGTGTATGTATGTATTTCCTTACAAGCCAAGGGGAACCTTTCTTAAAAATGAAATATATAATTTTTTTTTTTTTTTTGGAAACAGGCAAAGCTTTGCTCTTTCTTAACTCTCCCTAAAAGCAGCCTGGTTGTGAGGGGTGGAGAGCCGCTCGTGCTCCCTCGCTCATCTGACCCTCACAAACCTTGTGCTGTGGCACAGGCTTTTAATACCTTTATTATTCAACTTGACTATTGCAGTCGCTTCTAGAGACGGGATGAACGTGTGTTTGTGCTGTTCCTTTCCTCAGGTTGCTCGGCTCGGTGCTGAGCTGGTGAAGCCGCAGCTAGAAGGAGCGTGGTGGGAGCTTCGCCCAGCCAGCCGTTCCGCTTCTCCGGCCGCTTCCTCGGGATCTCGCTGAGATTCGGGAAGGAAGATCACTCAGCGGAAAGTTTAGGGAGCATCTTTGCAAGAAATGTGAATGAAATTCTGCGCGGATATAAGCACACGTAAGACTTTCAGGAGTAATTACTCATGTGGTGGATCCCGGCAGCGTGGTATGGGGAAACCCAACGCTTCCACCCAGCCTTGTCTCATTTGAGCCAGTCCTAAAAGGCAGGAACACTGGGCGAAACCGGTTTGCCTTGTTCAGGTATATGATTGTTATCTGGAAACGTTTTTATTAACATCAGGGAAATACAGGGAGAAAAGTTACGCAGTAACTTTCTTTCCTATTAAAAAAAAAAAAAAAATTGAACTGCCAAAATCATGAGGTACATTGTATTTCTCACAGATGCCCAAGATCAGGGAAGAATAATCCTAAACTTGCAGATAAATTCCTTTGCATAATCACTGTATATATACATAATTACTGTATATACTCATGTACATTCAGTCCTTGTTAAGCTGTGGTTCTGTTTTCTAAAAACCCAAAGACTGGTTTCACGGGAGCACCACTATCAACTCCAGGCAGCTTTGAATTTTCCCTGGGAATTTCTTCTTCACTCTTTTCTGTCTCAATTTTTATGAGATAATTTTTTATGTTGTATATTTTTTTTTTTATTATAAACTTTTTACACTTTTTTTTTTTTACTTGATTAATTCTAACTTGAATAGAATTAGGTGCTTAAACGAAAATGGGAGAAGCCAAAATCTCGGCGAAGGCTGTTACTCTGGCGGTAATGCACGTACTACAGCATTGTGAAAGATACGGAAATAATGTTATTTGCAGAAGAGAGCAGTGACCTGATACGGGAGATCGTCTTGTTTTTAAAGACACGGGATTCATGTGAGCATCTTCCTCTGTGTATGTTTATGAAAGAAAAAACATACTTTTAAAAAAATAAGGATTAAAAAGGAAACATTTCAAGTATTTACGTATGATTTTTGATTTTTTAAAATTTATTTTAGCCAGTGGATGAAATGTTGCAAGGTTGTATGCAGCGGGCCGTCTTGCCAACCTTTGACGCTCCACTGCTACGTACATCCCAGGGGGTGGCCGAGGAAAAGGGCTGAGTTGGTGCCCAGGACCTCGTGGGCTCTTCTGCTGATGGGCCAGAAAGCCGTGGGAGGCAGGGAGGCTCGGGTGGGGCTCTCCATCCCCCGGCCCGGCTGCCCTTGGCTCTTCTCTCTGGGACGAGCAGGGGGAAATTGCCATCAGGGGGACCTTTAAGATACCAAATAAAAGCCAAAGCTTTAACAGGACCCTCTGGTGAGAAGCAGAAATCAGTAAATCTAAGCTTGACATAAGATGCTGATTTGTAATAGTGAGGGTAACTGGGTAGCGTAGCAGATGGTCAAAAGAGATGATGAGGTCTTCAATCTTCGGGTTCTTTAAATCAAGAACCTTTTAAAAAAATGTATATTGTATTTCTGTGGTCGGTTTGGCTCTGTTCAGTCCTTGCAGGCAGAAGGAATTAAAACATTACAGTTGCATAAGGACATGAAGGCATCGAGGCGTGAGGTTGCTCTTACCTTACGACTCTGTCTAGGGACCACAGCGCTGGTTCCATTAGAAAGCTCCGGGATGTGTAAGACTACACGGTAAGGGCTGGTGTGGTGTGAAGGTAAGGCCAAGCCTTGGGGAAGAGGTCCCTGAGCTGTCCCCTCGGCGTCTGGAAGAGCCGGTGGTCCCACCAGCCCCTTGGCATCAAAGGGTGCTGCTCGGGGGTCCCCAAAGAGGTGGGAGGATAGAGCTTGGAGAAACCAAGCAAGGGGAGAGAGGTGAAGAACGAGGTGCCGATGGGGTGATGAGAGGCAGTGTGGGAGCTGGTCTGGACACGGCCAAAGTCGCTGCTCGGCCAAAGAGGGGACGGACACCTTCGTCTGGGCAGACTTACGTCCTGCGGGCAGGAATTGGGAAGATAGTCACCTCAGCATCCCTCCTGGCCGTCCAAGCTGTGCAGAAACAATTTAGCCATTGCTGTCAGCGGGGCCAGGATTTCACCCCAGAAACGATGTGACCAGCTGGGAGAATCACTGGAAACGAGGATGAGATCGAGGGGGTTGCTTTGAGTGCTCGGTCTGAGAGGAAAGCCGCGAGAAACACGTCTGATGTAAGTAACAGGATGGAAACAGGATTTTAAAATATGATACCCGTGCTGACTGTTACTATGGTATACCGCTTCCATGCCTGCAGTATTCAAAGTATTTTAAAAGTAGAATCAATATGATAACATCATATCGATCAAAATTATATCTCAAGAAAGAAAAAAAAAGTCACCACATTTTTTATGCAAACTTTAATTTTATTAGGCAATAAATAGAATAAATAAGGAATATCATAATAAATAAATTGATTATTATAAATATGTTTCAATTTCTGAAAATGACAGCTGAATAAATAAATCCATTAAATCACAGTTGAGTGTTTGGTGGTTTGAGAACATTTTGGTACTATGATGTAGCTTATTTTCTAGAAATTTAGAAGTTCAACATGGTAGCTTAAAAGGCACTGCCAACAGCTCACTAAAACACGATTTATAAGAAATTCTGTGAAATACTATGCTCTCAGTTCCTAAAAAGCCCCTAACCACCTTGCAGGGTATTGACCCTACTAAAATTTTTTTTTTTTTTTTTTTAAATTCAAAACATCTTTAGGTCAAATTTATACCCAAAGTGCTGGAGGGCTGGGTGCTTACAGCGAGCTCTCCGGAGCCGCCAGGTAGTTCATCATCCTGTTGATGGTGACCGTGCGGATTCGGAAGGCGTGAAGGATGCTGCAGAGCCTCATCCTCTCCTTGAAGGAGGTCAGCCCCGCGCCTGCCGACGGCTGCGGC